TGGCGATGAACGATGTGAATGACGTTTACACCTACTCTCCTCTCTTCTACTCGCGAGTGGATCCCTGGTATCTCCTCCTGCCTCTCCTCCTCCTCCTCCTCCTCATGCCTCTTCTCCTCCTGCTCCCCCTTCCTGCCCTCCCCTCCTCTTGACCCCCCTCCCCGCCTCCCCATTTTCCCTCCTTGCTCGTTGCATCTGACCTAGTCCTCTCTTCTTCTGTCTTGTCTACATGCTCCACATCTCTCCTCTTCCTCTCCTCTTCCCTTCCTGATCTCACGTCTCTTCCTCTTCCTATCCTTTCCCTCCCCTCTCCCTCCCTCCTGATGCCGCGCAGGAATCTGGCATGGCAGATGCGAGGAGCCCCGGTGGGAGAGCAGACGGTGTTGGGGTCTGTAGGTCGAGGAAACTTCTCTGTGCTGTGGACGGAGGAGGGGCGGGTGCGGGGAGGGTTTCACTGCCGCTACGGGGAGGAGGAGGACGGGGAGACGCGGGACCCGTTCGAGGTGCTGCGACGGCTCGTGGAAGAAAAGTTGACAAGAGAGCAAGTGGAAAGAGTAGTCAAGTGCCGCTCGATCTTTGAGGTGAGGAGAGGAAACGGAAATGATGGAGATGATGATGACGATGATGATGGAGATGATGATGATGGAGATGATGATGATGACGACGACGACCATGTCGATGGAGATGGTGGAATGATGATGGAGATGTCGATGGAGATGATGATGTCGATGGAGATAAAGATGATGATGATGATGAGGAAGATGATGAGGAAGATGATGATGACGATGATGACGATGGCGATGGCGATGACGATGACGATGACGACGACGATGACGACGACGACCATAACGATGAAAATGATGGAATGATGATGGAGATGTCGATGGAGATGATGATGATGACGACGACGATGATGATGATGACGATGACGACGACCATGACGATGGAGAAGGTGGAATGATGATGGAGCAGTCGATGGAGATGATTGAGTGGAGGATGGAGATTTGACAAGGTGCAACAGGCTGACGATGCTCTGAGAAAGCCATAGAGCAAGCAAGCTCAAGTTGAATCGCTAAGAGTCTGCAATTTCAGTAGTTTATTTCAAATCTCATTGCCAAGAGTCTGCAATTTCAGTAGTTCATTTCAATTATCATCATATTGATACAGATATCCATCTCGTCTCCTCTCTCTTGGCCCTCCCATGATCAGAGCTGAGCGCTCATCTTGCGAAACTGCCGCTGAGAGGAGCATGTCAAGGAAAGCAGATGCAGGAAGAAGGAGAGAGTGGAAACGGAAGGGTTTAGAAGGAGCGAGGCGAGGGAGGAGGATCAGGTAGGATTAGGAAGGCCAGGGCGGAGGAAGATGAAGGAGGAATAGTGAAAGGAGAGAACGAGAGGGCGGCATACTTTCATGTAGCCTTTCACTTCATGCTCGCATGCGATGCACTGACATCCAACTTTGCAAAGTCTTGGCTCCTTGCTGTCTGAGGACAGGGAGATGGGAGGCTGCGGAGAGGAGCATGAGGGAGGTGCAGGAGAGGAGGAGCGTGCGTGAGAGGGGAGGAGAGGAGGAGCATGTAAGATGATGGTCATGGAAGAAGGCGTGAGATTCGAGTAGGAAGAAAACGGATGGAGAGAAAGAGCAAGGCTGAGAGAAGGGCAGGCAGCAAGTGAGCTCACCGCCGCATCCTCCTTTTTCCTCGGATTCTTGTGGGGCCCAACACTACGATGAGTCAAGAGGAGGAGGAGGAGGAGGAGGAGAGCAGCACCGGATGTCGACGTTGCCGGCCTTCTCCTTGTCCTTCATATCGCTCTGCTTGTGTAAAAACTTCTGCCTGAATACAGCATGTCGACGAATCCTCGCCTCCTAGAGGGATCAGATTCAGCTCAGTCAACCAACTTCGAGCTGGCTCACCTCAAGTTGCTTCAGCTCCTCTCCTTTCACCAGCTGGGGGTCCTTAAGGGCTGACAATGCCTCGTGCTGTTGCTTCTTGATCCTCCTCACCTCCTGCAGCTCCTGCATCCCTTGCTCCAACAGCTTGCTGATGAGCGCTTCTCGTCTCACACCTCTTGACTCCACTTGACCGTCTTCCTTGACGCTCATCGCCGGCAGCTCCTCTTCTTCCTCCTCTTCCTCCTGCTCTACAGCTGCGTGAGAAGAATTCTTGACGAAATGGTAAAGCTCCGAGTAGGCATCAGGCAGGGAGCGCGAGCGACTATGAAGGGCGAAGGATCTTTGAGATCCTTGCCTTGTCGTGCTGCTATGCGGTCCTTCTAGCTCAAACCTCCGGCTTCTCATATCTGGAGCAGCTTCAGTCGCTTTCATGCTTACGCCGCGCGAGTCTTCCCGGCAGAAGCAGAACATGTCCATCAACCATTGATCCATCTTGCCTGCGCTGTCAGCTGCCGAGCTGCCGCGTAGATCAGCCTGGGCTTGTTTCTAGTCTCCTCCTCGCCCCCGTCCTCCCTCCTTGGGGGATCCCATCGGACTCGGATATCGGGACGGAAAAAAAAGATCATCAGTGTTCACGGTTAGGCACTGAGAGTTCGAGCGCTTCCCGGTGTGACTCAGACCGGGCTGGCGCCGGGCCCCGGGACCGGGACTCGCCCACCCGGCCCGGGCCGGGCGGCCCGGCTCTGTGCTTCCGCCATTTGAAGTTCACCCGGCTGCCGCACTGAGATGCCGGCAGAGCTCGTCCCCGGGGCCTCCTCCTCCGGTCTTTACTCAAAGTTAAGTTACTTGAAGATCAGGTTAACCTCTTTGCTTTACTCAAAGTTAAGTTAAAAAGCAGTACGAGGACAATAATAATGAGAGTCGAGGAGGCTTGACCCTGACACTGTCGCACAGGCCAAATCAGGTACTTTACTCAAAGTTAAGTTAAAAGCAGCACGAAGATCTCTTTATTGACTGAAGATCAGTAGTAGGGGCGTGACACATTTAAACTGTAACGATGACCTTTTTTTTCAGAGCAAGTTGACATTTTTCGAAATCGTCTTCTCATCTCTTCAAAGTTCCCCCTAACATTTCAAAGCTCCTTTCAAACCAAAGATGGAGCAGTGCCTCATGTTTCGCGGGAAGTCAATTCTTTTCAAACCCTCCCTCTCTCTCTTCAAAGTTAGCCCGAGCATTTCAAACACACGGTCAACTTTAACGCAAGCTCTCGTGAGGCGGATTTGAACCCACTTCAAGATACTCATGTCACCATTACAAATTTTGCACAGCATCTTCAAGAATATCAACTTCCCTCCAAAGTTGTAGAAAAAAAAACCAAGAGTATAAAACCCGACTGACCACGCAGCAGACGCTCCATCGCGATGCTCTTCAGATCCTTCCTCTGCCTCACCCTCGTGGCGGCTACTGCTGCTACCACATGCTACATCTCTGACAAGAAGGCCACCAACGGTAGCTCCCTCCCTCCTGTCTCTCAGGCTCTTCTGCTTCTTGAGTCCTTTCTCGTGCTTGTCCTTATCCTCCTCCTCCTCTTGCTCCTCCTCCGTACCGTCTCGGCAACAGATGCTTGAGCTGACCTATGACGCAGGCGGATGCCCCGAGACGACTTTCAAGTACGGAAGCTGCGCGTCGAAAGCTGTGGCTGATGCTGGCGTGGACGCCTTGATCACCTCACACAAGGCTCTAGCACCGGCTGACAATGCAGCTTGCAAGGCTAAGATCGACGCACAGTGCGCTGGCGTTGTAAGTCAGAGAGAAGCTGGCTTGCTTGCCTACAGCCTATTGACTTGTTTCATGATCGCAGAAGGCGAAGGGATCCGACTGCGCCGCGTACTGTCCGATACTTCCTACAGTGACTGGATGCATGACTGACTCGGACTGCACCTCGACGACGACCGTTCCTACTCCCTTGGCTTGCTGCAGCTCATTGAAGACCGTCTACTCCAACTTTTGCGAATATCCTAGCGCTACTCTCGATGCTGTCATCGCTGGGTTGAAGACTGGCGGCGGTTGTGCGGACACCAACTGCGTCTCTACTACCTCAGGAGCCATGGGCTCAGCACCCATGTCCTTCGCCATGCTCCTTCTCGCCGTCGTTGCGAGCTTGACGGCCTCCAAGATCTGATGCGAAGACTCTCGCTGACCTCAACACGCAATGTTCCTTGTATCTGATAATAAACTTGTCTTACCTCTGCGGTCTAGCGTCCGCGAGCTCCCACGCGAGGGCTCTGTCTCTCGCCACCTGCTGCTCTGGCCCCCCGTGAGGTACCGTGCCGAGGAGAGGAGGCGTGCGGAAGCACTCAAGACCACGACCAGAGGGTCTCGCGTGTCACTGTCGAGGTAGAGCAAGCCCTGCGCTGTGCTAAGCTTTGTACACGACCCCCGAATGCATACGCCTCTTCTCCTACAGCTCTTTCTCTTCTCCGCCAAGCCTCCCCGGCGTCTGCCTCCCCGTCATCACGACACGCGCCTCCAGCAGAGCCGATCATGCCTGCCGCCTCCAGCAGCAGCTCCGTCAGGATCTTCTGCTACTCGGGCGCAGTCTCTTCCTTGCATCTCCCTGACAACGCCATCGATGCCCCCGGACCTTCGGTCCCGAGGATCTGAGCTGTCGTCGGCATCGCCTGCTCAAGAGCGCTGGACGGCGGGAAGGAAGGGCGGCCTCTAGCGCGGTCCTCCGGGAAGACCCGGAGAGACATGGCAGCAGGGGGAAGAGAGAGCGCAGGACAGGTGCGAGGGATGCTGGATGTGAGGATGGTGACGATCTGGCTGACATGTCAAGCTCAGAGGTCTCGCAGACGTTGTTGATCAGACAGCGGTGTGACATGGCAACCAGCCACTCGTCCCGCGCGACGTGTCCTGTGCTCGCTGCTCTTTGTTCCTGTCCCTATAACCAATACTTCCTCCCTCCTCCGCTATCTCAGAGGATCTCCTCCTCCTTGCCTGCGACCTCCTCCTCCCTCCTGCTGTTTGCCGTATCGTCGGGACTTGCGACCGCCTCCTCTGCAGCTGCCTTCGCTGGCCGAGCAGCAGCAGCGGCCGAAGTCTGACTGCTGTGCAAGGCAGATGGTCAGGTACATTATCGCCTCGAGGTCAGGCATCAACTTCAGACGATAGCCCAGGGAGACGGAGGGCGAGAGGAGAGCAGAGACGGAGGAGCTCAGTCAGACGATGACGGAGCACAAGGGAGTAGGAACCCCTTCATCAGATCTCTTCTCTCTTGGAACTCAACTATCAAAAACCTGCTGACAAATCAATTTTACGTTTCTCGACACTCTGGATGCACAAACATGTCATGCATTTCAACGTTGATGGCGGTCGACTCTATGGGATCACCGAAGCGCTTCTGTATTCATCGAACCAGTGCTACGACAACCTTAAGCTCCTGATGTCCAGTGCATTCTATAACCATATAGATAGAACAGTATGTGAAAGAATCCTGCAAGCTGGCGTTGGCATCGAAGATGAGCAGGACATCGACTACATCATCACACTCATCTTTCACAAGGAGGTGTATACTCGGAATCTGACTGGCCCAGTCGGAGAGGATCCACACAGATATGTCTTACAGGACAAGTTGATTCAATCGTCAAAGTGGTTTGATGCCAAGACTCCGTCAGAGCTCTGCGGGGGTGAGCTCAAGCCTCCGCAGGAAGAAGTCTCATTGAGCAAGCGTGGGCAGCAAGAGCAGCTATATGACTCTTACAGCTACAAAGGCAGCAACGGCTACTGGCTCCCTGAGGTACAACCCCTGTAGCGCAACGGAGACTGCAAGGTAGGAGTGAGTACGATTGACTGAACCTCGAGGAGGATGATCGCTCGTGCGTGAGGAGTCTTGTTTACCCCTGGTGGTTCCCTTACGGGCTATGAAAGAATCGTCTACTGCTGAGATGGTCTGTTGACTTCCCTTCTGTGTGTGCAACGAACCTGTTGATGTGAGACTTGCTCCAACAACGTAGCAAAGTGCACTTGGAAGAATGAAGAATGAAGCTAGATTTGTTTATGTATCAGCAGTAGCAAGATAATTTGTGTAGGGACCAATGTAGAAGAGAGAGGAAGTTCGAGCAGCGGAAGCCGCTCCTCTGCTGGCTTAAATAGTGTCGTAGATGATCTTGCTAATGTACGGTCAAGCCTCATCCTCGTAGTAATATACCTGTCGTATGTACTGAGCCTTTACGACCAGCCGCCAGGTCCATCGTATAAGATGCACCCTGCCGGCCCCAAGTTTGGTGCTCGCTGTCTTCTCTCTTCAAGCCTCGCCGTTTCAAGGGCCTGTGCGACAGTGTCAGGGTCAAGCCTCAGGCTCCTCGACTCTCCTGATTGTCCTCGTACTGATCATTCTTCAACTTCACCGTTGAGTAAAAAGTACCCGACATAGTACCGGAGGTATTTCATATAAACTCCATATCGCCCTTTTGCTTTTGCTATTTCGGCATGATGCTGTTACATCGGTACAAGTCACTGAGTGCAACGATGTCATGGGTACAACATCACCTGTAATGTGTTTGTGATGAGTCTCGAATCGACTTCACATCACTTCTGTCACTGAGGGAGTCCCTCCCAGCCTCCCTCTGACTGACTGACTCAGGGGGGCGGGGGGGGTGACTCAGGCCGCCCATACGCCGGGGCTCAATTCTCCGGCCCGGCGGGCTTCCAGGGCTCAGGACCGCAGACGGACGGCCCCGGCACAGAGAGACTCCCGGCTGCTCGGCCCGGCCCGCCCGGTCACCCGGTGGCCGCGCATTGGAGCCGCCTGACGGCGTTGGCACTTGAAGGCCCGTCCGGCGGAGCCGCGTCGTTCGGAGTTCATTTTACTGAGTCTCTTAAAGCCTGACAGGCCTGCTATTTCCGGCCACTGCTGTCCCCCAAACTTAACTGATACCTTCACTTAACTTACTGCGCACAGGAACCTCGCTTTGTTTTCTGCCAACTTTGGAGAGAAGATGATATTTTTGAAGATGCTGTGCAAAATTTGTAATGGTGACATGAGTATCTTGAAGTGGTTTCAAATCCGCCTCACGAGAGCTTGCGTTGAAGTTGACCGTGTGTTTTGAAATGCTCGGGCTAACTTTGAAGAGAGAGAGGGAGGGTTTGAAAAGAATTGACTTCCAGCGAAACACGAGGCACTGCTGAATCCTTGGTTTGAAGGCAGCTTTGAAATGTTGGGGGGAACTTTGAAGAGATGAGAAGACGATTTCACGTTCGCCCCATTCCCCTTTCCTTTTACTAGTTACCGGAAGTTAATTTTTATTTATAAATATAAATGCCGACTGACCCAGACCTCCATCGCTATGCTCTTCAGATCCTTCCTCTGCCTCACCCTCGTGGCGGCTACTGCTGCTACCACGTGCTACATCTCTGAGAAGAAGGCCACCAACGGTAGCTCCCTCCCTCCTGTCTCTCAGGCTCTTCTGCTTCTTGAGTCCTTCTCTTGCTCCTTCTCCTCATCGTCCTCTTGGTGTCGTATCGGGTTGTAAATCTCCTTCTTCCTCCCTGTAAAAGTGATTCACAGATGCTTGAGCTGACCTATGACGCAGGCGGATGCCCCGAGACGACTTTCAAGTTCGGAAGCTGCGCGTCGAAAGCTGTGGCTGATGCTGGCGTCGACGCAACCATCGCTGCACACAAGCTCGTAGCACCGGCTGACAATGCAGCTTGCAAGGCTAAGATCGACGCACAGTGCGGTGCTATCGTGAGTCAGAGAGAAGCTGGCTTGCTTGCTTGCCTACAGCCTAGTGACTTGTTTCATGATCGCAGAAGGCGAAGGGATCCGACTGCGCCGCGTACTGTCCGTTGCTTACCACAGTGACTGGATGCATGACTGACTCGGACTGCACCTCGACGACGACCGTTCCTGTTCCCAAGCCTTGCTGCAGCTCATTGAAGACCGTCTACTCCAACTTTTGCGAATATCCTAGCGCTACTCTCGATGCTGTCATCGCTGGGTTGAAGACTGGCGGCGGTTGTGCGGACAGCAACTGCGTCTCTACTTCTGAGAAGGTGGATACAACTCCTGTCCCCACATCTGCCTCAAAAGTAGGGGATACAACACCTGTCCCCCAATCAACCTCAAGCGTAGTGGATACAACACCGGTCTCCACGTCTACCTCGACGGTAGCCTCAGAAGCCATGGGCTCAGCACCCATGTCCTTCGCCATGCTCCTTCTCGCCGTCGTTGCGAGCTTGACGGCCTCCAAGATCTGATGCGAAGACTCTCGCTGACCTCAACACGCAATGTTCCTTGTAGTGTGCATTACATCTGATAATAAACTTGTCTTACCTCTGTGGTCTAGCGTCCGCGAGCTCCCACGCGAGGGCTCTTTCCCTCGCCACCTGCTGCTCTGGCCCCCCGTGAGGTACCGTGCCGAGGAGAGGAGGCGTGCAGAAGCACTCAAGACCACGACCAGAGGGCCTCGCTCGCACAAGTCCTCGCGTGTCACTGTCGAGGTAGAGCAAGCCCTGCGCTGTGCTAAGCTTGTACACGACCCCCGACTGCATACGCCTCTTCTCCTACAGCTCTTTCTCTTCCTTCTCCGCCAAGCCTCCCCGGCGTCTGCCTCCCTATCATCACGACACGCGCCTCCAGCAGAGCCGATCATGCCTGCCGCCTCCAGCAGCAGCTCCGTCAGGATCTTCTGCTACTCGGGCGCAGTCTCTTCCTTGCATCTCCCTGACAACGCCATCGATGCCCCCGGACCTTCGGTCCCGAGGATCTGAGCTGTCGTCGGCATCGCCTGCTCAACTTTGGAGCTCTTGACGGCGGGAAGGAAGGGCGGCCTCTAGCGCGGTCCCCCGGGAAGACCCGGAGAGACATGGCAGCAGGGGGAAGAGAGAGCGCAGGACAGGTGCGAGGGATGCTGGATGTGAGGATGGTGACGATCTGGCTGACATGTCAAGCTCAGAGGTCTCGCAGACGTTGTTGATCAGACAGCGGTGTGACATGGCAACCAGCCACTCATCTCCGCGCGACGTGTCCTGTGCTCGCTGCTCTTTGTTCCTGTCCCTACGACCAACCCCTCCTCCCTCCTCCGCGGTCACAGAGGATCTCCTCCTCCTTGCCTGCGACCTCCTCCTCCCTCCTGCTGTTTGCCGTATCGTCGGGACTTGCGACCGCCTCCTCTGCAGCTGCCTTCGCTGGCCGAGCAGCAGCAGCGGCCGAAGTCTGACTGCTGTGCAAGGCAGATGGTCAGGTACATTATCGCCTCGAGGTCAGGCATCAACTTCAGACGATAGACCAGGGAGACGGAGGGCGAGAGGAGAGCAGAGACGGAGGAGCTCAGTCAGAGGATGACGGAGCACAAGGGAGTAGGAACCCCTTCATCAGATCTCTTCTCTCTCGGAACTCAACTATCAAAAACCTGCTGACAAATCAATTTTACGTTTCTCGACACTCTGGATGCACAAACATGCCATGCATTTCAACGTTGATGGCGGTCGACTCTATGGGATCACCGAAGCGCTTCTGTATTCATCGAACCAGTGCTACGACAACCTTAAGCTCCTGATGTCCAGTGCATTCTATAACCATATAGATAGAACAGTATGTGAAAGAATCCTGCAAGCTGGCGTTGGCATCGAAGATGAGCAGGACATCGACTACATCATCACACTCATCTTTCACAAGGAGGATACTCGGAATCTGACTGGCCCAGTCGGAGAGGATCCACACAGATATGTCTTACAGGACAAGTTGATTCAATCGTCAAAGTGGTTTGATGCCAAGACTCCGTCAGAGCTCTGCGGGGGTGAGCTCAAGCCTCCGCAGGAAGAAGTCTCATTGAGCAAGCGTGGGCAGCAAGAGCAGCTATATGACTCTTACAGCTACAAAGGAAGCAACGGCTACTGGCTCCCTGAGGTACAACCCCTGTAGCGCAACGGAGACTGCAAGGTAGGAGTGAGTACGATTGACTGAACCTCGAGGAGGAGCAAGCAGCAGATCTAGTATGCAGACGCACGAGGGATGATCGCTCGTGCGTGAGGAGTCTCGTTTACCCCTGGTGGTTCCCTTACGGTCTATGAAAGAATCGTCAACTGCTGAGATGGTCTGTTGACTTCCCTTCTGTGTGTGCAACGAACCTGTATTGTGTTCAATTTGTGATGATTCTCGAATCGACTTCACATCACTTCTCTCCACAAGTTTCAGCAGGACAGACACAAGCAGGCGGTCGGTAATGACATCACTGGCTCAGTCAGTGGCCATCAAGTTCTGGCATACGGTACGCCGATCGTCATCGTCAGTCCCTCACAGCCTCCTCCCCCCTCCTCCCCCCTCCTCCCCCCTCCTCCCCCCTCCTCCCCCCTCCTCCCCCCTCCTCGCCCTCCCCGAACGCCCCCACCAGCCCGGATGACTCATAAGCTCAGTTAAACCATGGGAGCTCTAGAGTGACCTGCAGCAGAAGCTGCCTGTCGTCTAGAAAACCTGGTGAACAAAACATTTTCTTTTTTCTTTTTCTCTTCTTCTCTTT